CAGCCCCCTCCCCACCCCCAGCCCCTTCCTGCCAATCCTGGGGCTCTGCCAACCCCTGCCAGTGCAGTGTCTGCTCCCAGTAAGTGCCTTGCAGAACTGGGCCACTGGCCATCCCAGGACTGGTCCCCATGAAGGTCCCCAAGGACACCCCCTGCTCTTCCTGTCCTCTCTGAGAGCTGGAGAAACCCAGCTCCATCCCGTGAGGAGCAGTGCCTGTCCCGCCATATATGGGACGGTGCCTCAGGCCATGCCTAGAAGGGGACAGCGTGTGGCCCTCTGCATGGCTGTGTCTGGACCAAAGGGGAAGGAAGGACATCACCAGTCCCCCTGCTTATCAGGATTCCTGTCCCACCCAGCTCCTCTAATCCTCAAGGAAAGTGGGATGGTGGGGAATTTACAATATCCAAAGCCAGTGAAAAGGCAAAGCCCCGATCACATTTGGGGTACCTCTGAATGCACGTGGTCCCAGGGCTTCTCAGAGCCCCATCACTGGGAGGGTCTTGGAGCCCTGTCCCCAAGACAAAACCCTGAGGACCAGCAGAAATTCAGGGAGAGAAGCTGAGGTGAGGTCAGGGGGTTTCCATATGCTGGAGCCCACTTTAGCAGGTCTGGCTTTGTCCCACTCCAGCTCCTGCAGCTCCAGCTCCTGCAGCGCCCTTCACCCCTGCCCACAGTTCCTCCAGCATGGCCACGGTGACACTGCAGACTTCTGAAAAATGGGATAAACAAGAGTAAAAAAAATACAACTCATGGCAAAGATTCCCTGCAGCAGCTGGGGCATCTCAGCCGCCCCCAACCATCCCTTGTCCTGGACTTGTCTCTCAGTGCTGGCAGTGGCCGCGGGCTCGTTAGAAGCTGCTGGGTCGGATCATCATGCGGGTGCCCCTCAGGGAGTAGCTGGGCCCCTGGAAATGGTGCCAGCGGATGCCGTTGAGCTTGCGGATGTTGTTCCGGGCCGGGTAGTAGATGCCGTTCAGGTTGGAGAGGCCACAGGCATCGAACCACCATCCTGTGGGAAGGGAGCAGGGTGGGAAGGTGGCATCGCAGGCTGGCACCCACGGCTGCTGCATGGGGGTGTCCCCCTGCTCCACTCACCTCCCGAGAGCATCTGGGCACACTTGCAGAGACAGTTGTCATTGTCGGCGTCACGGGTGCTGAATTGGGTGCCCTGCAGTGCCAGGCCACTCTGCTGCCCAGCCGTGCCACTGTAGTCCTGCAGGGACAGCCTGTGCCCAGCAGGAACACAGCCACTGTCACTGCTGCCTGTCAGAGGGTCACAGAGTCCCCAGCACTGCTCAGGGGCTGCCATGAGCTGAACACAGCACACAGGGATGTGGGCAGACATCCTGCAGTTCCAGCTTGGCCTCCTGTCCTTTGTCCCCAGGAGTGGAGGTTGTGGTATGCTGGGGCAGAGTGGATACACCCCCAAGGCCTCTCCAGTCCTCTCGCTGGGAGTCAGCTCGATGCATGCATGGGATGGATGGTGCAGGGGATGTCTGGGGTCTGGTTCCACCTCCAGCCCAGCAGTGAAGGCCCCCAGCTGCTTTCCACCCTCCTGCCCATGGCCAGGAACACATGGTCATGGCAAGCTGAGCATTAGGAGCACAGCATCTCTCCCTGGACATGGACAGCCTGGGGATGCCCAACATCCCTGGGATTTGCCACAGCTGTGTCACCTCCCATGGCCAAAGAAAGAGCCCCAGTGCAAACGCCCAAGTTCCTCCCACTGGTATGGCAAATCCTACTGCCTTGATGCAATTTTATACATGAAAAATCTACTCAGGAGCCCAGGGAGAGATGAAAGTGTCACAGCAACGTGCCTGGCACCTGGCATCACAACTACACCAGGACAACCCAGTGAAACCCCAGGTAAGCCTGCACCTCCCTAGGGCACCACACCCAGCCCTTCCCCCTGGCCACTGCTGCCCACAGGGCTTGGGGACAGTCAGAAATGGGGAGCGCTGGGTGGCTGTTCCCACAGCGCCTCTCCCCTACCTGTAAAACTGCCGCTCACTCCCCAGCTGGAATTTCCTGTAGTGGGCATACACCTGGCCACCCTCCCAGTCCTGCAGCTCGACCCGTAGGGCGTAGGGCACCCGGCTCGTCAGCAGGTGCACGGCCTCATTCCCCAGCCAGTATTCCCCCAAAGCGTCCCCAAAGCCCTGGGGAGCAGCAGGGTGGGTGAGTTCAGGGTGCTTGGGGTGCCTCCAGGGTGTCCCCCTCCCTGGTCAGGCACACACCTGCTTGTACTCCCTCCAGCTCCTCTGGAAGCTGAGGCTGCCGTTGGCTCGAAGCTGGATGACGGTCCAGCCCCCTCGATCTGTCTCCATGTCACAGTATGCCTGCAAGGGCAGCGAGGGACAGGCTGGGGGTGGCTTGGAGTGGGTGGCCAGGTGCACCCCTGCCAGGCTGGGCAGCTCAGCATGGGTGCTCTGTGGGTGCTAGAGCTGGCTGAGAGGCTGGCGAGGGTGTGCTGTGCCCAGCACCTGGCTGAGGCATTTCTCCTTCCTCCATGGCCATGAGCAGGGGTTGGGGTCTGGTGCTCATAGGTCAGGGTGCCTTTAAAATCAGTTTTATACCCCCATTTGGAAGGCTGTGCCAGCCCTGCTTTTGTCCTGTGGGTTCTGCCCTCACCCTTGTGCACCCCCAAGGCTGAATGGGGTGGGGAACTGCCCTGGGATGTCCCAGCTAACAGGGATCTGGTGTGGGGCTGGTGTGCACTGGGGGGGCAACACTCCAGGGTGATGCAGGGAAGCCGTCTCTGGACTGTGCTCACCTTTTTGGGCTCGCTCAGGTTGGCAATGTGCAGGGTGTAGATGCCGCTGGCATGGATGCCCGCCCGGCGCACCTCGGCACAGTCCTGGAATTGCTGCTCCTGCCCAGGTGACATGGCTGTGGCAGAGGGGACAGTGAAAAGGCAGGAATCCTGATGGCCCTGCAGCCCTGCCTGGTTTTTCTGCTCTTCCCTCTCCCTT